AGGAGGTCTATGGACGTCCCCCTGGTGGTTGTTGGTTGTTTAGAGTCATATGAAATGCATCTCAGAGCATTCCCCGATGTCATATGCTGCACAAGCCAGTCGTCGTTCATGATATCTACATTAATGTCACCAGCCTGGATCGACTTTCCGATGTTCCCATGCCACTGCAGCTACGTGGGCAACAGTGTTTTCGCATTCATTTTCATCTATGGCAGAAAGAGAATGTGTTGTCTGGGATGTGCTTATTCTTCATAGCACAAAGTATACATAAGTATACATATACATGTATACTTATGTATACAAAGTATACAAGGTAAAGTATACCTGGAGACTTACAAAGAGGGTTCAGGTTAAATTGAGGACGACGCAGCGAGCAATGGAAAGAAAAATGGTAGGTGTAACCTTAAGGACAAGATGAGAGTAGAGTGGATTAGGGAACAAACGGGGGTTAAGGATATCATAGTTGAAATAAAGAAGAGGAAATGGACATGGGCCAGGCATGTAGCGCGTATACAGGATAACCGCTGGTCATTAAGAGTAACTAACTGGATTCCCAGAGAAGGCAAGCAGGTAAGGGGGAGACAGAAGATTAGGTGGGCAGATGAGATTAAGAAGTTTGCGGGTACAAATTGGCAGCAGCAAGCACAGGACCAGGTTAACTGGCGGAACATGGGAGAGGCCTTTGTCCTGCAGTGGACGTAGTCAGGCTGATGATGATGATAGATGTTGTCTGGAACGTGCTTATTCTTCATAGCCATAGCACAAAGTATACATAATGCCTTGCAGAGGTGTCACGGATACCTCGCTTATCAGCAGAACGATAAATGGCACAGTGGCATAGCGGGTGCTTTACCGTCATGACGTATAGTGAATATCTTGCAAGTGCTGTGCCACGATGGCAGAAAGAGAGTTTGTGGTCTGGAATGCGCTTGTTCTTTATCGTCATCAGCGTCACTGGTGGCTACAGCACACAACGCCAATGCCACCAACAGACAAGCTTCAACCTTAAAGGCCAACACCGGCGATGTATTGAGGTCGATGGATCTTAATGAAATTCACTGGGTATGTTCCTTTGCACATTCCCGTAATTTATGCCAAATTATAGGCTTGAGAAATGTGCTGATTGTTTTCAAATTAATTCTAAAAGATTGCCTCAGAAAGCTCTCCCCGCTTGCCAGAATTATTAGCAACATTGTCTGTGTGACGTCATGTTTGACATGTCAATGGAAGTGACGCAGCCAATGGCATTGCTACTTTGGCTGCGACAATGTTTATTGTGCTAGTCACAAGGCGACGGCAGCGGTGTTTGGCACGGGTATAGCACTGGAAAGCTTTCTTCCTTCCTCTGTGATGTTTGGCCGGCACTTCGTTGGTCTGGCTTTCATAGTTTTCATACTCCGTGCTGGCGGGACCAGTATACTGCCTCCGGTTTTTACTAAATATTACGTCATACGCAGACCAGGCACCCAGTTGTCTTTCGGTTTAGATATTGCACCTTTAGCTTATTGAAAATTATTTTCAAACTTTCTGTGCATTTCATCTATTGGGCACGTGACAAGAGTGTCTCAGCAACATAGAAACACCATTACCTTGACATGGTTAAAAAATGGCCGGAGTTGGCTTTTAAGGACCTTCGCCCCTATAAAAATTTTGAGTGTGGGGGAGGGGCACAAACCCAGTGTGCTAACCCCTGGCTACGCCACTGTACGATTAGTTTAGTACTTGTATTCTGCACCACTGTTCATCTCTCAGTAAACAAAACTCCTGTTACATGTAACATATTTTCCTGGTACCCTTAGGTACGGTTTAACGAGAATCTACTGTACTTCGAAAAACCACAATTATAAACACAACATTGTCATACACTTTTATGAAACCACCAAATTAATAAAACACATCATTAGTTGTTTTCCTACAGTGAACGCCATGCATTAACATAGATCATACCTGCATAATACACCTCCACAACATTTAATTAGAGCTTTCACACTGTAATAGCGGCATTTTAGGTATTAAGTGCAAATCGAACAGCTCTAGACGTCAATTTTATGCTCGGAAGAATCTATACAGGTCCGACAAATTTACTGTAAATATCAATTTGTTTTTGTTTTATTATCGTCATTAACCATATGACACGCTATGTACACAATTGTGTAGTAACAGTACATCACTTCTATTCGCTATTTGTATTGACTAGGGGCTAAGAAAAAGCAAGATAATTGAGCATTGGATGAATAGAACTTCCTGCATCATAAATTTGTCTTCATTTAACTTTATTTTGCAGCAAAATGTTGCATATGATTACTTTACTGAAGGCACTACCATATTCGATGAGCCATGCGACATGCCACTTTCCGCGACCCACATCCAAAATAGTTTTTCTTTTCTCTGCGCGGACATAACCAGAAAACGAATTCGCACAATATTTCAAGCCTGAGATTTCGTTTGATTTATGCAATGACAGAGGATGAATCACTTTAAAATAAATATATATTTCATTACAAAGTAATTTAGAATCATTCCCGTAACATACAAAAATGAACATACACAATATTATTTTTGTGGCAATATAACATTAAGTGCCCTAAAATAATATTGCATCAATACGACGTATTTACAAACAGTTCCTCATAGGTGACGTCTGCACAGGTTAAGCAAACGTGGAAGTTTGTTCTTAGCGGACCCCAGTGCAGAGCTCTTTCACGTGAAAAGTGCAGCTTTATAAGGGTCAATACAATAAATTAAGAAATCATTTATGTGGCACATGACAGCTTTATGCTTTTAAGGGAAAAAAACTGGCATAGCTGCTGCAACTACTTTTACGTTTCCTCTAGCAGCTGTAAGTTCAGTTTTTGAGGCTGGCCTTTTATATTCTAAGTTACAACACACATGCACATACAAATGAAAGAAACAAAAGGATTAGACATGCGTTTTAGATTCATGACACAAAACATCCAACTGATAGGCATGTACATTTAATACTACCAAACCCAAACGTTGTTCACAGATGATGCATACCATTAAAAGTAACATTATTATTGAGGCAGCAAACAGCACTACCATTAACAATGATAAATTTATGAGCCTATGCTTATTTAATCATTTTAACACCTCCAAGAAACACTTTAGCAATGAGAGATTATGTCGTCTGGCATAGTGCTCTAGAATTATTTTTAACCTTAGCATGCGCCCAAATGCTTAGTGCACAAGGATTTTTATATACAATGCTGCTTAGAAAAGAAACCATTGTGAGGTTTTATACAAGGAACTATTGGTCAGCTGCCAGCTCATAAGTTCACGTGCTATGTGACGCCATACAGGCTCATAAAAAGAGTGTACCACACTCGCCGCCATGGCTACAGGTGGCGCTGACTGACACTCCCACGTTTAAATTCACATATAAACTCAATAAAGTGGCTGGGGGAATAGCCGCCGTGATAGCTCAGTGGTAGAGCATCGAACGCGTTATTCTGAGGTCGTAGGTTCGATTCCTGCTCACGGCAAGTTATTTTTTCACCCACTTTTCTTTCTTCTTATTTACTTTACATTTGTTCTAATAACTTCCCCTATACATTCCTTGGCATTATTGTCTGTTAGATTTCATTAATATTGTGTCAAAACACAGAAAAACGAGCCCTTAGGTATACACTTCTTTCCCTTATTCATTAACAAGGGTCTCGTACTGGCAGATTTGGTGCCGTTAGATTGTATACGAGGGACTATTGGTCAGATGCCAGCTCGTAATACGTTCACGTGCTACATGATGCCATACAGGCTCATAAAAAGAGTGTACCACACTCGCCGCCATGGCTACAGGTGGCGCTGACTGACACTCCCATGTTTAAATTCTCACACACACACACACATATATATATATATATATATATATATATATGTGTGTGGGGGGGGGGGCATGACAGTGGTGATGCCAACAGCAAGAATCAGCCAAGGGTGTTCATATATTTGCTTTTGCAACAATAATAAATATGCATTGTTGGTCACTCACTTAATAAATTTTATGTCATTCTGTCAACACTAAGCACCAGTCAATCAAACGTCAATACCAATGTGTTAACACAGATTCACAGAGAATGTGATCTAAACACAACCTGTTTATTAAAAAGCCATCAAAATGTAGGTAAGTAAATTTCTACAGAAGTGTGAGGTAGAGTAGATACTTTTTCTTACAAATAAAAAGGCAAGGTGGGGACCAATTCCAGCTTCCCCACGTGGTACAATGCAGTATATTAAAACTACTCTTCAGAGCAACAACACAAGAGTATACTCATGAGCAGTATTTAAAACATCACAACGTGGTTCATTTGTACGCAGTAAAAAGCACTGGTTCTTGGTGCCACAGTGGACTTTTTATGATCTATCACATCTACACTTAGAAAACACTTGCTTTAAAAGGATCCAGCAGCACATAATTAAAAGTATAAAAGCAAGCCCAGTCAGAATACGATTCATTAGAAAAACTTGAGCAAAGTGTAATTTTAAAACATGCAGGAGGGAACATATGACATGCTCCTGCATATGACACAGTTCAAGTCATTAACGGTTGGATACAACAAATACTGGTCGAGCTTGGACAGACACTCTCACAAATTTAAAAAAAAGAATTAATCATAAGGAAACAAAAGAAATAGGTTCAGTAAGTATACAGGTGTAGCAAGACGTCTTCATTAGGCAATAATAATTTCTAGAGTTTTTCATGTCAAAACCATGATATGATGACACACGCCAGAGTGGGAGACTTCGGGCTTAGACTACTTGTGGTTGTTTAATGTGCACCTTAATTCAAGAAGATGACTGTTCAGTGCCCCCAGCAAAATGAGGTTGCCGTGGCGAGGAATAAATTCAAATCCTCGCGCTCAACGTGACACCTTACCTGCTAAGCTACCATCACGCTTGAAGGCGTCTTTAAATAGCATTACAAGAAGTTCATTAGTAGAATAATGTGCCGACATACTTGTGGACTTAGCTTCATAAAGACTCACCTGTGAAACAGCAGTGCTGCACCCATCAGTAACAGCCATGCCGACAAGTGCTTCAAGGACTTCCGAGGGAGACTGCAAGCATAGGCTGGCAAACCCACTGAGCATCTGTTCTCCGCCCTTTCGTGGAAATGCGATGAACAAGAATACAAAGCTGTCGTGAGCAACTTTCTATTTAACATTTTGAGAATTTTTCCGTTATATTAATTGTGGCAGTTTTCCATCACACAAGGCTTTTGCCGTACAGCTCTTTTTGAAATTCCAAGCTATAACGACAATCCATGCTCACTGGGAGGTGCTGCCACAGGACTTACAAGAAGTATTTTAAATTTGATTGTTTGATAGGGCTACCTTCTTGTGAAGGTAAACAGAACTGACATCTAGCCTCAGCACATCGCATGGTCTGTGGCAAAGCTCTTTTGTGAATTTGGCTTTGCCGCACAATGGCATCAAAGTTGCGTGAATCTTGATTAGCACTTTCTTGCAATGGCAGCAGAAGTTGATTTTCATATTTATTGATATTTATTTGTGCTGCTCACAACTTGGCTATCACTGAAACTCATGATACACTCTTTCTATCCTTGTTTACTGAGTTTACTCTGCACAACACAACCACATGCAGAGAAGACGTCATGTGTGTACCAACACAACTCATCGGTCTAGAAAGAGAACAGACATGTGCTTTATGTTTGCAGATTGTGATAAGGCACTGTGCACAGACCCATGTTTCAAGGAATACCACACTTTGAAACACTACTGAACACTATTGAAGCAAAAATCGAACCCAAGCATTCTGCGGGGCAATCCAGTATTCTACTACAGACCCACCTCAGGTTTCGGAACTGCTTTTCAAATAAACTGCACTGTTAGTGTATCGTAAATTTTGATTGCACTGCTGGATATCCAACTTCATGAACATTACATATGTACTCCTATGATACAGCCGCCATGTTGGGTAAATGTGAATTGTAGTTAAGCACCATCCACTGAAGTTGATTTAAGTAGCAGGATCTAGGACTACTATCCTCATGAGCACAAGCGTTACATATCAGCTTATCGCTTCTGGTGTTTTTAATATCCATGTTGCTGTTGGCGTCGTTATGCGACTGTAAAGAAGTGCTTACATAAAACATATGCAACTGTTAAAATCAAATTAAAATATCTCAAAGATAATGTCCAGCACTAATAATCAGTACGAAGTGCCCTTGTATACAGGACAATCAAACAACACAAACATCTTGAAGTCTCAATTTTGGTGTCAGGGGTCCTTTAAGAGTGAAGCTCTTAAAACCACTTCCCCCGTTTATGCTTATGCGTACAACATTTGAACATATCCTTGGCATCGTTTCGTAGCATTTCCCTCAATAAAAAAATTACAACACAATCACCTTCCCTCAACATGCTTCGCATAACATCAATTTTTAAGGTACATGGAATCTGCCAAATTTTTCGCACCTACCATTATACTGACATGTGTGCCGAGTGGCCCCAACCCTTCAAAGCTGTTTGACCAGCTTTTCTACCCTGATCACCCATAACAGTGTTTATGCTTTAGCGAATGATCCATTCTGTAATGGGGGGGGGGGGGGGGCAGAGGGAGACAGCAATGCAAAGAAGGGCCCCACTGATAGTTCTTCCTTCCCTCCAAATCCCCAATTCTGTAAAAGAATGTCAGTTCTAGAACAGTTTATGTTGGTAGAGAGAAGTCTGGTGTATGCCTTTTTTTTATTTTCAGCTCTATCATGCAGCCTCTAACCGCAAAGGCGCTACAGATACACAACAGAAGTACTGAAGTATCACCTCAGGCTCCGTTGTATGGTCAGCATCCAAAACGAGGTTCAACTTCTCAGTCAGAAGGTTTTCAAAGTTTGTCAGCTTCAAAGATGAAGAGTCAGCACTGAAGTTCTCAGAGCTAAATGCGTAAAACAATATGGCTTCTTGTAACTTCAGTGGTGCTGCAATGCATACCTTGAGTACAAGCTGCAAATACCAGGCAAAGAAGAGCATTTACAACCGAAACTTTGCTTTTTTTGTTTTACAAGGAACTTTACATATTATCTGCTCGTTATGTATCAGGGCAATAGCAAAACATGTGGTATGATCAGATGACTCTTGTAGCTTAAATCCACGGAAGACAGAGGTTCAGGAGAAGATGGAGGTTTTAAATGACATAAACTCTCCAAAGTGTCACTGGAACCAATACTTCGACAAGGGCTTGCGCACAAGCTTGTTCTCCTCCTACACACTAAGGAGAGCAACTGATTCTCAAATAAACGTAAGTTAATAAGTTCCCTTCTTGAAATGTTGACTACTGTAATATTCCTTGTTCAACAGTAGCTCATTACTCTAATAGTTGAGGTGCTTGAGTCTAGGCCCACACCCATCACAAGCACAGACAGAGATAGGCGCTACTATCAACAAGAACAAACAGTCGAGTTAAGATTCTGCTTGTTTGAACCATCACAAGTACTTCTACCACCCTAAAAACAGATAAAATACATGAGTATCTAGTTGATATAATTGGTTTAATCTGCTACCACGAATATGTATTGTGGCCAATGCTAATTGAATGATTGATATGTGGGATTTAACATACCAGAAGCACCATATGATTACGAGAGATGCCGTAGTGGAGGGCTCCGGAAATTTTGACCACCTGGTTTTTTTTTAACGTACACACAAAGCTGAGCACATGGGCCAATGCTATTTAAGGTTTGTACTGCAAGAGAAAGCTATGGTTGTTATTTTCAACTGGAAGCCATATGTCTGTTTTTTTACATACCCTGCCAATGCTGCACAATATTGTGCCACTTACAAAACAGTAAAGAAAAAACTTATAACTTAGGTGTGAATGGAAACAGATGTCTGCTTTTGTCTAGCCATCAGTGTGCAATTCCTTGATTAACACTGTAAGCTGGAAGAGTTGGTAAGTTAAGATGTTCAGGTAAACATGCAGTGCGGCATATATAAAGGGCGGAAACAGATGACACGAGTGCAGACTTCCAACCGAAAAATTTATTGCGTACACAAATGAAATATGCTTAAAGACATGTGGTGTCTGCACAATAAGAAAGAGAAATGGGGGACAAGCCATTCAAACATTCTGTTTCTTTTTGATGCAGTGTGATAGACCTTTGACTGACACACAAAGAATATGTACATGCACATGTGCATAGATTCTGCTTCATGTGCCAGACAAACGTCTATCACGCTGCATCAAAAAGAAATAGATTACTTGAATTTCTCGCTGCCCATTTACCTTGACTATCTGGCATGCACCATGTGACTAAAGGGTATAATGTGTTTGCCTTTCCTAGAATATTCACTTAAGGGAATTTCCATGTGCCAAGTGCATATCAGCATGTGTCAGTGCGATTTAAAGCAAGGTGCTACTCGAAAAAAAAGTTTATTTAATCTGTAGCGTAGAGAAATGAAAATTTTGGTATATACATAAGCTTTTATGCTTGTTTCAAATATGTTATCAGTTTTATTGTAAGTTGCATAGTTTTCATTTCACCCCATGACCAATGTGTAAAATTTAGTTTTAGGGGCAAAGCTCCTTAAGGCATCACCCAATCGTCCTCCGTAGTAACCACCTCTCTCGGCTATGTGCCACAGGGGAGTTTACTTCTTGGAATGTCTGCTAGATGGCGGTACTTGTATATCTATAAATGATGAAAAGATGCGAGATGGTGGTACTTGGAGTGTTTACTAGACGGACAGACAAACATACAGACAGACACACGGTTAAACGGACGGACGGATGCACGAACAGACGGACGGACGCTTCGCCCTACTCATCATCATTCAGTCCGTAGATATGCTATAAATTTTTGGGATACACTTGCCACTAAATTTTTATGGTTCAAAGCCATTAGAGTGCTGGAATGCGGGCGCTATACCGAACTCGTGGAAAACGGCGCGCATAATTATGATCCCCAAACCGGGCAAACGAGTACAGATTGACAACCTTCGACCGATATCCCTGACGTCCTGCGTTGGTAAGGTCATAGAACATGTGGTTCTCGCTCGCCTTACCAACTACCTCGAGGACCGAAACATGCTCCCACACACGATGCTGGGGTTCCGTCGTAACCTTTCCACGCAGGACGTTATGCTTCAACTCAAGCACGATATCGTAGACAATTCCACACGATCCACCAAAGCGATACCCGGGCTCGACCTCAAAAAGGCGTTCGACAACGTTAGCCATGCTGCGATACTTGAAAGTATACGAGCGTTGGGACTGGGCGAGAGAACGTACCGCTACGTACGGGATTTTCTTACGGGCCGCCGGGCCCGATTAGCGATCGGCGGACTAATATCGCAGGACATATACATGGGTTGTACGGGCACGCCGCAGGGCTCCGTAATCTCGCCCATGCTCTTTAACCTCGTGCTTGTCGGATTACCACGAAAACTCGCTGAGATAGAAGGCCTCCACCATAGCTTGTACGCCGATGATATCACCCTCTGGGTTGCCGAGGGAAATGACGGCCACGTAGAGCAAACACTGCAGGAAACCGTCGACGTGGTACAGGACTACCTTCGCGACACTGGCCTCGAATGTTCCGCCGCTAAATCGGAGCTCCTGCTCTATAGACCCTCGCGCAGGGGCCGTAAACCCAAGAACGCCGATTCCGCAATCGAGTGCGCATATAGAGAAATTAATGTACGCACATCAGACAGCGCTGTCATCCCACAAGTTAACACCATTAGGGTACTGGGCTTGCGCCTGTCCGCCAATGGCCACAACGGCGAAACCGTTCGCAGACTAGAGGGCGCGGTCAATGAAACAATCCGGTTGCTGAAACGAATAACAAATCGGCATAGCAGAATGAAGGAAAGCAATACCATTCGCCTGGTACATGCTTTCGTTATGAACCATATAACGTACGTCGCCTCCTACCTCAAGTGGCAGGCGACTGAACGCACCAAACTAGATTGTCTCATCCGCAAGGCGTACAAACGCGCAATCGGATTACCGGCCAATACCAGCACGGAAAAATTTCTCGAGCTGGGGTTGCACAATACTCTAGATGAGATAATCGAAGCACACAACATCGCCCAGTACGAACGTCTGGCGAAGACCAGAACTGGTCGACACATCCTCGAGACACTGGGTATCAACTACCATACGCAGCGCGGCGAAAAGGTCGGGATACCCAGACGTATTCGCGAGCGCATCGTCGTTCTGCCGTTGCCTAAGAACATGCACCCGACACATCACATCGATCGGCGCAACAGGCGCGCCCAAGACCTTGAAAAGAAATTCGGCAATAGCAAAGACACAGTTTACGTGGACGCGGCCCGTTACGACTGCCACCCCGGCTTTGCGGTCGCGATCACGGATCATGTAGGAACTTGCGTCACGAGTGCGACGATAGGCACGGAAGAGACGGAGGCGGCCGAAGAAGCTGCCATAACCCTCGCGATAGCCACCACGGACGCCGAGGTGATAATAGGCGACTCACAGGCGGCGATACACAACTACGCCAGCGGCCGGATCTCCCGCAAAGCGGCCCGCATTCTCCAAATTCACGAACGCAACATCTGCCACAAAAACGAGTTTCCTCGTATGGACCCCCGCCCACACGGACCCTCCGCTTGCGGGCAACGCGACTGCCCACGCCGCGGCTCGAGGACTTGTACGCCGAGCTGCGACGCCTGCCGACAGTCCCGATGTCTCGCACACTTCGACAGCGATGCGAGAATGGACGTGGGGGGATCGCGTGACCACTTTCAGAGACATCACGCAACACTACAGACTGAACAGATGCAAATATCCACCACCCCACGCCAAACTAAACAAGAAACAGCAGGTTGCCTGGAGACAACTACAGACACACATGTACCCGAATCCGGTGATCCTTCGCCTCTGCTACCCAGGCATTTATACGTCCGACGCGTGTAAGGCGTGCGGAGCCAGAGTGACGCTGCAGCACATGCTGTGGAAGTGCACCGGTAACGCGCAGCAGTCCCCTACGAACCCGGTAGACATGGCAGTCTCGAACCGCGAGGCGCGATGGGAGGCGGCTCTGCTCAGCCACGACCTTGCCGATCAACTGTGGGCCGTCCGGCAAGCCCAGGATGCCGCCCGGGTCCAAGGACTCGAGGCCGTCACCTAGGCCGGGGTGCTTGTAGCCCCACCCCGCTCAATGACGCCGGACATGTTCAATAAAGTTTTTACTCACTCACTCAAAGCCATTAATGCCTCATATTGCTCCATACTAACTGTACAATGCAAATAACTCACAAGAAAGCGCATATATACTCAAACCTCGATATAAGAAATCCGGATATAACGAAATATCAGTTATAATGAAGTAAATAAAGAAGAGTCTTGCAATCGATACAGAGCTAGGAATATACGAAGAATTTTCGGATATACCCAAATTATTTTTGTGTAAGATGCAATTTTGTTGTAGTGAGGTTTGAGTGTAAAACAGTTTAATGGACAAGAAAAATTGTAATGTGAAAAGTCTTAGAAAACTCAGACCATACTAATTACTTACTTTAAGTTTGTAATAATTAAATAGACAATATCAATTTTTAAAAAAGATACTTTCACTCTTCACTTAAGGAATATGTGGGCAAAATTTCATCTCGATCTGGCTATCAGAAGGAGCAAAAACATGATGAAAAAACTCAAGAAGTTGCCGAAAATTGTATCTGGAGAAAAACACATCTCGAAAGTATAAGTGACAGCTCATCTATGTGGCAAAGATCTGTTTTTTTTATGATTTCTTCCATCATGAGAGCTTGGGAATTATGGTTATTTTGAGCATGTGGCTTGCAAAATGCTCAAACTTTGCATGAAATGCTCATGCGAAATGCAATAGCAAGCACCAAGATGACCATTTCCATGTGACTCTAGAGAACGAGATCTTTTTAGCTTTTAGTAGCCACTTTGTGCTCTTTAAAAGCAATTTTAAACTACTTGAATTTATTTACAGTCTTCAATATTTTGTAGTGAAAGTACAGAAGCTAAACTTGTGAAAGCAAATAAAAACAAAAAATATGTAATTTTTGGAGTAACTGACGCTTTACGACTCGTGTCTCCCCTTAAACACTAAAGTGCATCCGTTTTTGTGAACAATTATTTCTTCAGTTACCTGAACATTGGTAAACACTGATTTACCCAAGTAAAAACAACTTATTTGAATCATGCTGAAAGCATTGCGAGACACTGTTAGCGTCTATTGTTGAGAACACCATGAGTTACCCTAATTTTATAGCTACATTGAACATCAACAGGCCTGCGAGGAACAAAAATGGCTACTTTTCTAACCAAGCTAATTTGTAAACATGCATTCTAATGAGCTCAAAGCCTATGAGATGCACTGTAGAGACATTTCATTTTTTAATGCAATTTCAATGAAATACAGCACTGTTTGAAATGGTGCTTTTAAGATCTATGGCGTCATGGCAGCACAATTACATGCACCTGACTATACAACAAAAGCTCGCACAGTAAACAAATCTGACGAAAAATTTTCCCTGGCACCTTTTTTATGAATGTGTCGGCATCACTGCACAAAGCGGCTTGAAACAGGCGATGAAAAAGCTCTGGGTGACTCAACAGGTTCACATGGTCATTCAGTATATCACAGATCCTGGGAGACCAAGAAAGAAACGTTATAAGGCATGATCCTCCAAAAATAAAGTTTGATACCGACTTTACAACTCCAGATTTCTTTGCCGCAAGTTTTCTAGTTGCTGCAAAAATTGCCACAAAAGGCATGTCACTCTTACACAACACCAGACTGTAATGACAGAAGTGCATAACATACTACATAACTTGAGAAATGTCATAATGCGGTTATATGCTTTTGGTGGTGAGCATACAAGAAAATGTGAGACATTTCTCAACATTACACTTAATGTCACACTAATACTACAACTTTCCAGAAAATATGCTTAAGGGGGCCCTGAAACGGCTTTTTCCAAGACCCAAGAACAATGTTCGAGTTGTGGTTTTTCAAGAAATGTAAACCCAGTAGAATTTTTTTAAAAGACAATACGAATGAAGCAGGCGGAAGAGCAATGTTTACATCGCTCCTTTCCTTATCTATGCTAATAACAATGCTCAGCACTATATCTACCCATATTTGCTTTGTTTTCCTTGTACACTTATGATAACCACTAAACATTGGCTTAGTGTAAAGTTAGTGATGTTAGTGTTAGAATACTTTCCCTGTTTTTAACCATCTTTGGCAGATCTATAATAGACAGTGCAGGCATGCGAGTTTATGCACAAGTGATTTGTTGTCAAAAGTCATCAGCTAATGATCAGTGTCTATGAGCTTTTGCCCTTCATTGTCAGCTGGAAGGCAGCTAGCAGTTTCAAAAACAAAAAAGAAAAGGCCCTCTGTTCAAAAATAAAGTGATTTTGTACACTAAACACGCTACACTTAACTTTAAAAATTTCGCTGAAATGTTCACAGCATTTTATCTTATCTGTAGAATGTTTATTTGCCCATCTCTGAAGAGGTTATAGCACCTCTTATGTATTGCAGTCCCACGTTCACACAAATGAAATACAAAACTGGCATTCTTAAACAAGCCTCACTACAAAAACACACAAGAAAAAAGAAACATACAACTTTGTTCTAGTCTACGAAAAAAAAGAACTTACCATTCTTTCTTCAGAAGTGATTCGTGGCATACAATCCAGATTGTGAATGCTAGAGCAGCAGGAGGGTAAACAATCATGCAACAACAAATTTTAGTCTCCACATATCTACAACAGATCTTTACCATTTACATGGGATCACTTTGCTCGAAATGGAGCCCAGAAAGGTAATGCTGCACTGACATCTTAGGATTCAACATTTAATTAAAGAATTTGGAATCTACATCTGCACACATGTTCTCTTATTTATGGTAGAGGAAGTCTGCTGCATTTACAGAAAATTTCTGTCCAGATATTAGAACCCCTAGAAAGTGCTGTGCAACAGTAAAACATTTCAAAAAGTCGTATAGTTCCACACAGTCACAAGATGCCACCACTGTTTCTTCTGTCTCTAGTGCAGCGTTCGAGAACATGTAAATTTAGAATCTACTGCTCTGGGCTTCAATATTTCAATAAGCCAACTCCAGAAGCGGTGTTGCCTCTACATTTTTTTAGCCGTGCGACAGTCACTAGTGGGTGTAACGTTGCACATCAAGGACACAGACACAAGAAGAGACTACGCAACACACAAAGCACCTTTTTGAATCTTGTGTATTATGTCGTCTCTCTCGGTGTTCATGTCCTTTATGCGCAACGTTACACCCACTAGTGAGAAACAAACAGGCCCAAATAGAAAACTTGGTTAACAGCAACTATTAGACCATACATGTGTGCACTACTATTAATGGCATTCACTTTCAGTATTGAAGCATTTCAAAGCTGAATAACAACTTTGAAGGCAGCATACAGATAGGAAGAATGCTTGTATGTAGCAAAGAAAAAAAGCTAAGAAAGCCACCTGCTAAAACAAATTCTAATATAATAAAAGGAAAGTTGTGAACAAATCACATACATGTGAAGCACAAAAGTGACATTAAATACAATACATTTAACAAAATGTAAGCAGCTTGGCTGAGAGAAGTTTCCATTAAAAAAACCTTCCATATAAATAATTTGAAGAGACAAGGCCACATACTTTATATGACTAATTAATATAAGACATCAGGGTAGTATCCTTTGAATATGAAAATATACTAATTTCATTTACTAGATGAACAGAGACCTGCAACTGATAAGGTTTAAAATATCAACCAACAGCCTACTGCAAAAATCAGTTGTTTCCCAGGTACTAGGTAAGCATATTTTTCTGCACAACTTATGTACCTGCACAGGTAGCCTACATATACTCTCCATTTAAACATTACTAGATATGCATTTGCTTGTCTTGGGTCATTTTTATTTTGATTTCCACTAGTGATCAACATGATATCAGCCACAAAGAAGTTCTCCCTTCGATGCAGGTGAAACCATGATGCCACAGTTCACACAAAAGACTGGCCCTTTTTTTTGAAAACATACAATTTTTTTAATAACCTACACATTGTTCTAATTAATGAATGCATGTTGCATTAATCCTCAAATGTGCAAACTTCGAAGCTTGACTACTGCCCATTGGAAGAAAAAAAAAGCATGAGAACCTACCAGAGGTAAGTGGCATAGCTCCTTGCTTCAGAATGCTTTCAATGGCACTAACTTGCGAGTCTTTATCACAAACAGTTGAATCCACTCCTTCATGGTCCCACTTAATGACAAAATGCTTCAAGCCAGCTAGAAAGGGGATTTGTGCTTCATAATCTTTCTTCACAGTTTCAAGAGAGCTTAGAAAGCACTGCATTTTTTTTATCAAGTGCCACAGGTCCTCATGTGAGGATTTGTCTTCTTTTCCAGCAATGCAGCTAGCAGCACAAAAATCATGGGTCAGGCACAGAGAATGTTTAGTGTTTTGTTCTTGAGCTAATCTCTCTCCAAAGCACGCAAGGGCTTTGTGAATTTCACCAAAACGCAAGCAATCAGCACGACTTAGTAGCTGGCAAACATCTGGCCATGCAAGACCATCCAATATATGAAACAAGCATGGTGAATTCAAATAGAAATCCTTTTCTGCATTTTTTCCGATGTCATCATAGTTTGCAAGCCAAAGGTTGGGATTCAAAAGGCTGAATTCCGTAGGCTCAAAGATGGTTAGTAAAAAATCAAGGGTGACATTGACAAGTGACAGAGCCCAGTCCACCATTTTCATATTAGATGAGCTGAAATGCTCACGCATATTTACAATAAACTGAATACTGTCTTCAAGAAGGCATTCTTCTGTTGGTGAAGCTTCATTTGATGAAGATTGTGTCTGCAGACTGGAAAAAGCAGACAGTACTTCATCTTTGCTAGTGTCCATTCCTGTAAAAACAAAATAACATGTGAACATGCTAAGCTCATGAGCAGGTCAGTACTGAAAAAAAGAAAAAAAAAAGAACTCACAACTTCTACACCAGCAAAAGCTCACTCTCAGAAAATACAATGTTTTTTCCATAGGACCTACATGTGTGTAAAGCCTTTCTTGTGTAAGCTGAAGACGAAAATGGTGGCTGTACAGCTCTAGGAACTATATGAAACAAGAGTACAGCTGTTGTCAGATCTTGAACATGACTGACGGCCCTTTTGTTTTTGTGCAGTCGGTGTTAGAACGTTACTACAAAAGGCTTGTAAAATTCACTCAGGAATATTCCTTTTATTAACTAATGACCAATGGTAAATATAATGAATACTGATGTTAAGCAACACTGATCAAGGTATAAAGGGCCTGTGGCAGATAGACAGACTGCGAGACAAGACGTCCGTTCCCCTGCTGTGTGGCTTCTACGAGTGAAATTTCAATTCCAGCTATCGAGAATAACATCGCAACAGCGGGAATTCTACCACGTATTGTAGGTGGCGCACTCTCCTCAGAAGCGGCAGAAGTAGTCGACATAATTACCTCATTTCGCAACAATCCGCCGGCAAGAGCGTTGTCATGAGAGGGGGTAGAAAAGATAGGAGGAAAACGTACAAGAGAGGATGTTTCTGACACTCACCACAAAGGTATTACACAAAACTGTTCTATTGTTTGGGTTATGTTTGATAACAACTTAACGTTTTAGGGGCGAAGCTCCTTAAAACCTCACGATGTTCGCCGTCTCTGGTCTGTCCGTAACACCATGTAACCTTCAACTTTAAGCAACAGAGGGCATTAGTGGTAACCGTTTTGCATGTAACCTTCAACTTATAAGCAACAGAGGGCACTGTGGTTAATTGTAGATGTAATGGTGCTGCTGTCAACGCTATATATATATAACCAGGTTCCATACCACACATTCTCTTCTCTCATATGGACGAAGACAAACGCAGGAAAGCGCAACGTGCTGAGTATCAGCGTCGCTGTCGACGGGAAGCTACCGCGGAGACAGAAGAGAAGGAAGTGGATGAAAACGGCTACAACGACAACTAAGTTCTACATCACAGACTAGGGCTAAGGAAGTAAAGGCTAAGCGGGAAAAACGCCAAGCTGACGCCCAGTTGAGACAACTTGAAGCGGATGCAAGGAGGCAATACCGACAAGAAAATTCTACACCAGAGACGATAGCTAATGAAGCTGTGATTATGAAGTCAAAACGTAACCCGGAACTCGGAACCTCATATTAGCTATAAAGAAGAATCACCGCTATATCACAATCGGTCTCAGCACTCATATCAGCTGTAAAGAAGAATCACCGCTATATCACAATCGGTCTCAGCACTATCTCTTTGAAAAAAATATATATATAAGTATCACAACCACAATCAGTCTCAGTACTATCTCAACTTTAATCACAATAATCACCTCCAAAAGCTTTGCCCCATAATTATCTCCAAGCAGCTTGAAATGCAGCGATTTTTTTATATTGGTCAGTCATTTAAGTTTTAACAGTTTTGGACCTGGCATCTTAACCTAAAACCAACTAAATAGTGACTGATTGGCATTTTAAATTGTCACAATACTTGTGGACCCATGTCTAACAACGAAAATAAAAAATTGACACTTCTATAACTGTCCACTTGCTCAAATGATACTTTGTTGCACAGTCAAAACACAGCTTTTTCTATAGAAATCTTATAAAGCCATTATATTTTAATCTGTTGTATAAATTTCTCAATAAGCAGCTTTTAAACAAATTTACAGATTACAAATTCCTCATTATAAAAATAATCTAAGGATTACAAGTAGTGATTTTATGCTGCACAAAAATCACCTTAATTATAAAAAATTTACAGCTTTAGTTGATAGTTTTAAAAAAATTAAAATTGTTTGCATTATTTGCTGAAATCTTCAGCATCCTTTTATGTACACAAACTTATGCTGAAATGTCATTATTTCTTAAGCTTATAGTTATCATTACGTGATCTTACAATGTAAGTATACTGATACTAAGTATTTCATTTTATTTAACTTTAACATTGTTGCTTCATTTTTGTTACATATACCATGCAATAGTGTTTCCTCTCTTTATTCTTTTTTAGCTTTGTGGTTGTTTTCTGTAGTTTGCTGATGTGCTTCCACATGCATCACATTTTATTGCGATAGCAATTATATAGATTTTGCCTTCGCTGTCGCCATCATGCCTCATGTAAAGCACAAATTGATAGCATCACCTTGTGCAGTAAATATGGTTGAAGCATAGATGATACAAGCTGGCCATTTCTGTAGCACAAAGGGCACATGTGATAACATTACCCCACATCTGCCCCAACAATGGCTTTTCAAGCAGAGAGGATATGCCCCCCCCCCCCCCCCCCCCATGTTCCATTATGCAAAGAGGTGTAAAGGCTACATCGTATGAGCAGCAATTGCCAACTTTGATCGTAAGGGCGCAATCGCGAGTGCAATTTCAACAGACATCACTAGACAATGTGTATACCCTTGTACATCCTATTTTCTCATAACTAACTTCGCATTGAAATGACAGACAGCATGAAAACCACTTTGCCTGCTGGAGAGCAGCAATATGCATTTACACCAGCGTTTTGTAATGTGAAACTGGACCCACAAGAGTTAGCTGCTAGCCTCACTTCACATAACACACTTGTTAGATATCACATTCATCGCTTACTCACATAACATACTAGTTTGTAAATATCGCATTCATCGCTTCACCCCAGAGGCGAGACTGTGGGTTTTTTTTTTTTTCATTTTTTTACAAAGCTAAGTATTGTTGATGATAACACCAATAGCTTTACTCATCTGCATTGATGTCAAAGCTTCATACTAAACAATTATTCTTGTAAAACATTTGTTTAAGTTTGTTCTGAAATCTATGTTGCCTGTATAGTCAGAAGATTTTGTTTCCTTCGTTTTATTATTCATTCAAAGGGAGGTGCTACTAGAAAACGTTTCTTTAGTCTGTACCCTAAAGCAGTGGTTCTCAGCCATGGATGTGTCGGGGACCCATTGTGGACTAGTGGAAGTGATGGGAGACCCCTTGCAGCGGAGGGAAGGAGGGGGGGGGGGGGGTATGTAGGTACATTAAAGGGCCACTCACCAGGCCGCATACCAAATTTTAGTTAGACAGTGGAAGTTGTTGGGTGTCAGATGAGGAGCATTTTGCCACAAAACTTTTTTTAAAACGGTTCGTCACGAGCAGAGAAAACGCGTTTTTTGAAGCGGCGCGAAATGAGGATGAGAGGAGGCGAGTTCGAAATCCTTGCCGCTCCTCCGCGTAGCCTTCGCAAGCCAAATCTCTTCCCCATCCTCTCAGGCATCCGACCAAGAGGTCACGTGCGCATGACGTGCCCAAACAAGTCCAACCCCCAAGCACGCGAGCGGCGTTGCTTTGTTGACCAGCGTTATTTTGTGGTCTTCTGCCTGTTTCTGCGGGATGGTTTGGAAACGCTGGCTTACACACTGTATAAAAGATGAGCCCAATGAGTGCGCGAACGCATAGGAGCGTTTCGCGCCGGTCGTCTGCTCTATGCGCTGACCGCGGGGACAGGAATGCATGCGAAATGCCGACACATTAGCCCCGCATCTGGTTGCAATTCACTGGAGAAAAATGGAAAAAAGATGCTCAAATTCCCGTACTACGTCTCAATATTTATCTAGAGCTTCATTAATCTCTTCAAGCAACAAATTACATAAACTACGCATTCTGTGTCAAATACTTTCGCCATGTCACGTGCCACTGTTTGCAATGTCAGAGCAGAGTCGTCTACGTAGAGGACCAACGTCACTGCATTGCCGTGTACGTAGGGCCATTCATACGCGCACATCATGCCTTCATTCTCTAGTCCCGCGCCGGCAGAAGGGAGGGGGAGCCGCGTTCATCTTAAAATTTCACCTATTTCCGTGGCGCGTAGCGTTGCAAATTTTGGCAGACGTGATCATGTAGGCCTCGTCTACGCATTGCGCTTGTCAGCTCGAAATTGTCAAACCTAGTGAGTGGCCCTTTACCACAACTGAAGCGTGAAACAGGTGCCTTTTATTACTACCAAAAAACATCAAATAAACGTGCCACATCACTTCATTTTGGACAATTTATCAATACGTGGCCCAATCAAGCTTAAAGAAAAATGCAAGTGAAGGGGGCGTCCGCGGACCCCCATTTGAGAACCACTGCTCTCGAGCAATTACATATTTACTGTTTATACATGTTTTTATGCTAGTTTCAAATATGTATTCACTTTTTGAGTGATTTGCATAGTATTGGTTTTGTACCACAACAATGTGTAAAATGTAGCTTTATTTGAACACACTTTTTCTAACTTTATGGTTATGAGCCATTCACGGCTCATATTTCCCTACATTAACTGTAGAATGCAAGTAACTATCAAGAAAGTGTGCTTAGCACATTTTAATGAACAAGAAAAACTGTACTGTGACAAGTCTTAAAATGCTCAGCCTATACAAATTGCTTACTATATATTCATAATTGTATCAGCGATATTAAATTTCAAAGAAGATATTTGCCCTCTTCAATCGTTATAGAATACATGCTAAAAATTTAATTTTGACCAGACAAATAGAAGTACCAAAAACATGTTTAAACTCAAGATTTTTTAGGAAGCAGAGCACAGAAGGACACAAAAACACGCACACATAAATAACGCAAACACAAGCGCTGCACAGCGCTTGTGTTTGTATCTTTTATGTGTGCATCTTTTTGTATCCTTCTGAGCACTGCTTCTTCAAAAATCATGGCTCATCAAATAGCCCATCAGTGCATATTAAGCAAACTCACGAAGTTGCGCAAAATTGCATCTTCGAAAAAATGCATTTTACACATAGAAATGGAAGCTCACCTAAATGACAAAGATGGGCTTTTTAAAATGATTTTTGTCTATCATGAGAGCTAGGGAATCATGGTTATTTTAATTACGGGGCCTTGGTGAACTCCTCATGTGAAATCCAATCGTAAGAAGCCAGGTGACAGTTTCCAGGGGACTTAACACAATGAGCGCTTGTTAGTTTTTAATAGCCACTTTGTGCTCCTTAAAGGGACACTAAAGAGCAAAATTATTTTTAGCATATTAGTAAATGTACAATTTCCCGATTCTGAAGACACCCCTCTAACTGCGAAACGATTCTTGGTAAATGAGAAAGCGCATAAAAAGAAAGCAAGTGGAGACGCCACCATGAGATTCTTTCACCGAGCACCGTGATGTCATAAATTTAGAAGGCATCTCCTGGATCCAACATGGCTTCTAATTGATAAAATTGAATTACATTGTCATCTGTGGGTGCCACAGACTTAGCGTACAAAGGTTACAAAATTTTCATCGAGCCAATGTTGCGAAAATGTGACAAATACATTTCGAAATTTGTTACGTCACGCTGGAAAATTTGGTGAGAAATTCAATAATGAAACTTTAACCTCGATTTTCTATCCCAATAACTAACATATGACAATAAAACATATGATATTATACTTTTCAGAGTACAATTTATCAATCTAAACCAAGTCACTGTTTCTCTTTAGTGTCTTTTTAAATATAATTTCAACCTACTTCAATTTAAAATATGACCTTGATTTTTTTTATCATGAAAGTAGAGAAACTAAACTTGTGGAAGCAAGTTAAAAACAAAAAAATACGAAATTTGGGGGAAAACATGGTTTTTTGAGTAGCATCTCCTCTGGAAAGAAGTGTGAATTTAAGGGTTCGGTTTCTTTGTCAGAGCAATATTAATTAGAACAGACAATAATGCCAAGAGAACTATAGTGGATATTATTAAAAGTGATTGTAACCTAAATGTCAAGAAAGAAAACTTGCCACCAGCAGGATCCGAACCTGCGGCCTTCGAATAACGCATCCGATGAGCTACCAATGAACTACATGGGCGGTCATCCCTCTGTCCTCTTCATAGGGTATGTATGCGCATTTAAACGTGGGAGTGTCAGTCAGTGCCACTTGTTCCCCTTAAGTATTTATAGAAACATATATACGATGACCCAAATGACTTCCAGCTAATTGTCTACCTTGTTGGCATGTGCACTAAAGGTGAGGCAGTGCATGAGGTGTGCTTATTTAATGTGTATTGCAGATGCTGCACCTCTTCAAAATGATAGGTTCCACACCTTCCGGAATGCCTTGTAAATTGCTGTGTGGTTTTGAAAATGCATTCAAAGTGGTGGTGTTGTGGAAGGTGAAGGAATGCAAAGTGCTGTTTCAATACATATTAAATTCCACAAACATGGCAAGAGCGAGCAGAAAGAGCAAGGTTCCTGCTCAAACAATCTGGTGGCCTCCTTCATAAACACTAACCATGCACCATTCAATGCTGGGAAATCTATGAATGTCGACAGGCTACCACCATCGGAATAAGCTCCACACAACATAAAATATTGCTTTGTTCATAAAGCCTCTGGATAATTAATTAAAAGTGCATTTTGAAAATATCCACTCACCATTTTAAGTGTATAAAAAAGGCACATTAAAAAAACCTGAGTGTTTATGATACAGTTGAATAGCCTCATTGATTGCTTAAACTAAGGACAGAAGTAATGCATACCTTTTATAGGAGAAATACAAGATGACCATAGCATTGTAGACACTGTGCTGCTCCATACGTAAGGTACAGTTTTAGAAATGTTGTGGACTGCTTCAAGCACTCTAAGCCTAATGTTTGGAGACAATGCTTTCAGGGTCTGCAACAAATGCAAATACATTGGCTAGCATGGGTGACGTTTTTTCTGGTGCAAGGGCCCAAATACAGTAGATACATAACAGCAGCACAAACGGTGAGGAATGCACGATACTGCTTAGGCTGCAATGGTGCAATCAAGTACAATTTCTTCAAATAGAATGTGAGGAAGGAAAGATTGAACAAGTTAATAAACACCTTAAAAAGAGGATACTACTGAAAAATGGACAGCATAATGAAAATTAAAATATACACCTATAGGTTGGAACTGAACCTAATAAGGTGCTGATGTACATGAGCCTAGAGACAGCACAGCAGCTCCTCACAATAAAGCTCTAATGCATCATCTAATTCATATATATCCATTAGTGAACCACCGTTACTTGGCACACACACAGCTCCTCAAGTACGAAACCCACTACTACCTTCGGAAAAATGGAAGCAAAATCTTCACCTTTACTTATCGTCCTGGAGAGTACATTTGTAATGTTATAAAACAATAAAACTGATAAGCATAACAATCCATTAGTAATTGGTTTGGTAAAATAAGAAACGATGATGCATTTAAGCATATCAAGAATGTTATAATGGGGACTGCATTAAACTTTACACCGTAGCATTGTAATAACAATTTTGATGCATCTTCAGTGATGAAATATTATCTCTAAGGTCGAAAACTGAGTGTAGCAAAAAATTCGTTTATTTTTGTGAGGTTAAATAAGCTGTACTGCCCATGCTACTGCGCTAGTTGTCGCATAGTAGCTATTTAAAGATTAAATCATTAAAATGAGGTTCTGCTGCTCGGGCGACTTGGCCATTCGTAAATGGTAACATGAATTAGCGCATAACATATAAAAAACGCAACATACACGTAGAGACAGGCAGGTTCTAAACTTCCAACTTCATCCAACTGAGTTCGAAGCATAGTGCCTACCTGTCTTTACATACACGTCATGTTTCCTTTCTTATGTGCTGCATTAACACATGCTACCGCAATAAAATGAGAATTAGTTGCCTAGCCTGAGGCAGCCTACTTAGGCCAGCTATCCTGGCAGCCCAACACTTTTGCCCAAAGCAATATAATTCATAACAAAATACTTGAATAAATGTGCTAGCCAGACTTTCCAGAAGCACAAATATATTAATTGTCACAATCTCCTTACTCAAGTGCCAGCTCCACTGAGACCAAGTGCAGGATAGACAGAAGACGCACAAGAGTGTACCTGCTCTAATTACCTTAATAAAGTGCTCTCTCCAGCCACATGCTGACACAAGTTCCGCAAAGAAGGGCCACCCAATATGTGGTAAGTCATCAAGCACAGATTCAAAGTACTCCAATTCGGCTGCTCCTACGACATCATTAGACCTAAAATAAAGTTTTGCTTTAGTCACAATGCAGTATACACAATGAAATGCTTCACAAAGTTCTAATATATATATATATATATATATTAAAACATATTTTCTTCATGCAAAGCCACATTTTTTGCAAAACAGTGCAAACATTATACTGACATAATGTGAATGGCTCAAAAAAAGTGGCACATAATAGTGTATATGCAGATTTCTCATTTCAGACTATTTCAGAACAAGTCAATGCTGAGCTCACTGTAGATGACTTGGAAGATATACTCAAACATGCAAGCATAAACACTGAGTTGCCCCGCTACATGAACTGAGAATGAATACAAGATAAATCCCTCTTGTTTTCATATGCACAGTTCCAATATAAATAGATTAGCACGAGTGACCGATCACCTCCATGGTAAAATCAGCACATGCAAAGTCTTGTTTACTAGCATGCCAGAAATAGAGCAAAAAAGAAAAAGCGGAAATGGCCAGACAGAAGCGGATTACCCAAATGTTAGCATTTCTAATGCTAGTCACGACTTTGCCTCTTCAAGCTGCAATCACTAGTGCAAATCCTTTTCTTTTTCACCTAGACACAAAAGCTCTTGCAATAAAGTGTAGCAGCAGGCTGGAGTAGAACTTAAATCTTAAATGCATTAATATGTCTTGCAAGGCCCACTTTACAAATCTGAACTCTATAAAGGTACAATAGTCATGACATGCATGTCATGCTGCAGAGGTCACGTAAGGCTCAATGCACTTTTTCTCCGGAAGCGAATTGAGCTACTAGGAGCATATTGACAAGACAACTAATTTGCAAACAAAAAAAAGAAAATGAAGAAGATAAAGACAACAGTGCCACATCCTGTCTTGTGCCTTCACCTTGGGTTTTTTTGTTGATTATGCATACCTGTACTTAATGCACCCTTTGCACAAAACAAAGGAAACTAAAGAACATGTGTTTTTACCTTTACAAAAAATTGAAGAAAAAAAAACAATAACTCATTGTGGGAACTCATAAAATTAGTTATTTGTACAAGCAAACGAAGTATTACAGATCCTGAACTACTTTCATGATGCTACATGTAATACACAAGGTTACCTCTCTTTTTCACACATATTAAAAAAAAATATTCGAGATGTTTGGGGAAAATCTAGAATGCTAGAAACTGATAAATTAAAAAAAGAAAATCATTCATGCTACTTCATATGACACTGAAATGAAAACCTGAAAAACACTCTGGAATGAGTGCAACAACTATCAACTATACATTCCCAAACATGTTTTTTTTATTTCATGAACCTAATGAATGACAGTACAATCAGCACAATGACTTTTGTAGTATATGACTAAAAAGGAGCAAAAAAGAAGTTGCAAAAAAGAGCACATGATCTGGTGTGCAAGGTTGTAGGCTTTTTGCTGAATGGCATATATTTGGCCTAGAATGCTCCGTGTATAAACTGGGAACATTCTCTAGCCAGGTTCACAAAATGTCTAGTTCTCTTTTAGAAGTGGTGCCATATGCTACTGGATTATATGGTGTGCCAAATTTCTTTAACACTCCTTTTCATCAACTTACACAAGGCATTAGCACTGATTTATTTGTAATGTTAATGCTAAATTTGAAATGTTCCCCTCGAGACCGCTAAACAAATCAGCAATGACATGATCAAAGTAGATTCATATGAAGCTGCACAGAGGCAGCAAAATTTCACCGCTTGATACTTTACAGGCATCTGCCTTCTTACCATGCTCCTTACAATTCAGCATAGTATATTCACTCTCAGCAAAAATTCAGATGTAAATGTTTCTGAAAGTACTAAACATGAAGTTCCATTGTCAGGTTCCCTTGGACTTGCAAGAGTCACTCAATAATCCGAAACATACGCTTGGAACACTGTACTGAAAACTGGCTACAGAACGATTACATGCTGTCTTTTAACAGATTGAAATTATTTAATTATGTATAAATATTATATTGATGTCCACATTTAAAGTATTACTGGTTTAGTAGAACACGCAAAAAGCAGTCATGATGCTTGACACAATTCCATGATGGTCGCTAAGATAAGCGAAAAAAAACAAAATCCTATGGGTTCTATGGGTAAATCACATATAGTAGTAAGGCAGTGTATAAGGTAACACTGTGGGTTGACTGACACACTTCATTTGACATCACAACTGCAAGTTCAAAACAGAAAATATAAATCTGCATATATCATGTGGGGCAGGAAGTGCTGCAACAAGAAAACATCAAGGCCAAGAATTATGCCATATTTCCAGGTTCAAACAGTCACAGAACATCCACATATGTGCACATAAAAGTCTACAAAGCTTCAGTTCAAATGGCCAAACCAATGGTAACATTGCACAACAAACTTAACGCCATGCGTACAGAGCACAATTTACTTACAGAAGCACCTTTACAAAAACTGTGGTATGCAGCCTTGAACTAGTAATGGCCCGTTCAGTACCCGCACTGTAGGCATTTTGTATTTTGTTTGACACAGACAGGGCCGCAGCTCTAGAATGACTTTGGTCCGATGAAAACAAAGACTGGCTTGCATCCTGCAGAAATAAAGACATCCACTTCAAATACATTCAAGGGTAATACACAATATGTTGTTTTAGCTATTGTCTAATAAATGTTTCTAGCCCAATGATAAGTTGTACAATGGCTAGAATCTGTTATTGCATTTAGCCCTTACATAACAATTTGGGCTAATTGATCCAAGTTAATAGCGTGAATGCAGCGCAAAGCACTCAAATGCAGTAACACTAGCACCTGGCACATATATGTGTTGAACTGTGTGTTTTTACAGTTGCTTTCAATGTTATCATCCAAGTACAATCGCTTTGAGTTGCTTCTTTGTAATGGCTGTGGGACAGCTATTAACGTTCCACAGATGGCTCCCAGCAACACCAACAACAAGATTTTGCACCAGTTTTGGTTATTATTCCTAGGTCATTCATCTTAAATTTTAATGACCTCTCTTGAAGCTGTGTAACCCCAATGAGAATAACTTAGGCAGAGCTTTCCTCCAAAAGCTTTGAAAGTGAACTGAATATTATATTTTGTGATTTTGAACACACTTTGCCTTGAATATGAAGCATGGCCCAGACAAGGGCATGTTAAACCAAATATGTTAATGTATCAAGTTGCTATGTTTCTGCAATATAATTTGCCTATCAGGCATGCAATTGCCTAGTCAGTTAGAACATATGGAACCATAGTGGCCATTCAATAGTACAGAATTTTAGTTAAATATTTTTAATATTTTTACAAAGTGCTTTACACCTGCAAAATATGCAAGGCTTTCGGTGCTAGAACACACTTGACAACAGTCATGGGCACGTTACCAGTAAAAAGTAACAGTGTTACAGTTACAGAAGCCACAAAAGTAACTCTGTTACAGTTACAGTGAAAAGGTAACGTCATTACTTTTCCATTACTGTATAAAAAATGGATTACAAAATGAATTATATATTTTAATTAATACAGACATAGGAAGGCATGCAGGTAGAGAAAGTTGCATGTGGTGAAACCCTAGAACGATGATCCACAGGGCAATAGTTCTGACCTAAACAATGTGTGTGTGGGGGGGGTGGTGGCTTCTTGAAACGTGGTTCATTCGATACGGTGCGCTGGCTAGCAATAGCGACCCGCGGCCCCCTACTGAACGCTTGCAAGGTCATGTATGACTAACGAACTGATCAACCTCCGCTTATTTTTATTTTTTTGCCAGTGTCTACTGAGGACACCACCTGCATAGGAGGCGAAACGTCACTTTGTTAACAATTGTTGTCTTAACTCGAAGTAGAGCTTTCACAGTCAGTTAAAAGCCCGTTTTAAATGCTTCGGGCTTTCAGCAGTTTCATGCTGCTGTTTTCTAGCCACCTGTCAAACGCGACTTGCTGGAAGCATCAGACGGAGGAATGCTCCACCGGCATACTAAAAAAGGATAGAAGCTCAAGTGACAAAAAGGATATATATATCCCCTTCCCACCCACCCCCCACCCTTGAAAAAAAAAAAGAAAATGGGGGGGGGGGGGGTACGTGAACTTGGCAAGGTGTTCAGTGGCAATATTATTGATTTACGACATGTTTTTTTTTTATGAATGAACATACCCTACAGGCACACTTCGCTTCAAACCAGCCAGACAGGTCTTTGTGAAATATGTTTACCTTTAGATATGTAGTATACAAGTAAACTTTGAACTTGGTCTTCTGCAGGGAAGACATTCCTCTTAGCAACCTGTTCTCTTAATTTAGAAGTGTGGCAGTTTGGGCTAGTTGGTATGACATGACGATAGTTATAGTGCACGAATAGAACGATGACAGAGAGACCAGAAGGACACGAGCGCTTGTGTCCTTCTTGTCTCTTTGTCGTTGTTCTGTTTTTGCGCTATGACTATGTCTGTTCTCTTAAACTGTGATGTGGGCCATGGAAAGTCGAAAGGTGGGGAGAATACTGTAAAGAAGAAAGTTCGAGAAAATGGAAGGCGTGTAATGTCAGCCTTTAATGAGTGTGGTTGCTGGATGATTTTTTTTACAAATACAGAAGTAACTGTATTTTTCGTTACAGTTACTCAGTAAAAAAGTGACAGTGTTACAGTTACTTTAAACTAAAAGTAACTAGTTACAAGTTACTGAAAAAGGTAACTAGGTACTTCCGAAGACTGCTTGACAGATCATTTGAGTTCTCAACATTGATGCACTCTATCACGGTTCTTCAGAAGAGGATAATGAAGCTTGTGCAGAAACACATGCCATTTGAGCTTTCATGGTGTTGTCGGTCATGTTAATGTCAAGTAAAAGTAGCAAGCAACTAAGCAGTCTTGTAGAAATTCAAGTCATACTAGCACTTATGCTTTTCTGTTCAGAGAGTAAGGCTTCCCAAAAATGATGTGGGTTGCCCCCTTTCAAGTATACTCAGCCTGTTACATATGGTTAAGGAATTATGCATCACAAGGCTTACACTGTTTTTTCGGACACGTATACCTAAGTATTACATGTGAAAGGCTGCTGACAGCCTGGTTAATGAAGAGTAAATGGCTACTGAATGCCAATACTCTGTGCTGGCATTCAGTGATGACGATGCAAATGCATTGCATTCGCATTCAGGCCAACGAAAGCTCCTCAGTACTAAATAAAAAATACAGAAACCCTTACCTATCAAGAAAATGGGGGCAAGTGAAACTTGGTGTGTGCATGCCTGACATAATTATTCGCTTCTTTTTATAATACCAATAATAATTATTGAAGTTTTACATCTTAAAACAATACGATTCCATGTAGTGCCATAGCAAAGGGCTTAGAAAATTCCAAGCACCTGTGGTTCTTTTAATGTGCACCAAAATCTAAGCACACGAGCCTCTAGCATCCTCGCGTCTATAGAAAATTCTTTCTATCATATTGCACAATGCTCCTTCTAAACAGTTGCCTTCCTCCAAGCTGGAAATGGGGCCTCCATTTACATGCTTAGCTGCGCAACACTTCAGTTGCTGCAGGCAACAACTGCCATGCATAGATATTCAGGCAAAAACCAAATGATAAGTCACCTTGATCAGATTGCCATTTAGGAAATGGCTTATCACCGACAAGGCTATGAAAGAGCTTTAATTTTTGGAAAACAGCACACACCAGACCAGCACACAGATTCAGTACACAGTTTCATAAACAGCTTCAGAAACTTCAGCACACAGCTTCAGACCCAACTGTACTTGAAAAGTGGTGCTCAGATGGTCCACTACTTGCTCGAAGTTTTAGCAAAGCTGGGTCCACCTGCAGCCAAACGCTCAGCGCAATTCGGTAACAATCCGTAACATACTGCACCACTTTTTATTGTCCATGCATCTGCCGTGTTCTGAACTGAGTGTGGAAAAAAAAATTGACACCACGAGTTATTATTGAACGCAAAAACCCGTGGCACTCACATCTATTCAATATATGCACATCAGGATGAAATCGAGTCACGCCTTAAGGTCCCTGGTATCGTAAAACAATGGAAAGGAACGTGAAGGGCCGGTTTTATACTTTTCCTCTGTTTTTAGTGTGACGTCGCACGCTTTTTTTTTTTGTTTGTTTCTCGCAAATTGGTGCGCAAGTGAACACGCACGTTTGAAACTGCCTAGCGCAGTTAACAGACTTGCTAAAGCAGCCTTTGTTGTAGATTTGTTCTCGGTTTTCTTGAATGCTTACCTTCTGTTGGAGAATGCGCTCGGCAAAACTAAGTGCGCCTTTAAGCACTGAAATGTCCCGCCCATATTCAAAACTGCCAACCTTAGCCATACGACGTTCCACCACAGCACACCTACCCCTTCACGGCACTGCCAGCAGCACAAGGCACCACCACAGAACACCTATACACTACTGGCACCACGGAAACGCACGATGCGCGTTTTTATTCGCAGCCGTGATACAGCGCATGTCCTCCGAAATTGCACGCCGGCAGGTTAAAAACCTTTCATGCAATCATAAACCACAGTTTCCTATGCATAAACTTTATGACGCATATAATATAAAACTCTATGTGCTCTATGCATAAAGTTTCATAAGCTTTATAGAGCTTCATACAAAGTTGCTTAACCTAATCTACGTCGGAAACACCATGTTCTTTGATAACACAAAGCTGGCCAATGCATGACCTCAGAGCATGGTAATAAACGCCTTTGAGATTCGGTTTTATATTCCAAAAAAAAAACCACCCTTGACCTTAACTTATTATATATCATTTACGCGAATATTTTAATATTTTGTTCTCGTGTATTTAGTTAATGCGTAGTTTAGTACTAAACTTTTTATAATGCTTTAAAGAATGCTTTGGACTGAATCTTTCAGTGGCGATTCATCGTCACCGAGACCGCTGCTTGCTTCTCTGCATTCACGGAGGAAGGGAAAGGTCCTCCGTGCCTGCATTGATGCAGTAGGAAACTGGTGGGCGAAGGGGTGTTGGAGGCGATGGATTGTATCCTTAAATTTTTGCGCACAGGCTTACTATAACTCTAGTCAAAACGTCAAAAACTAGGCACCTTAGATCGATCCTTCCTCATCTCTAATGGCACCTTTTAGTAGTAAGGCAGTGGCGATTGCTGGCATACTTATGTGCATCGTCCGAACTACCACTGAAGCCGTGACCACGGAAGAGAGAATCCAACTGCGGTGAGTGCCCCAAACACATGTTAAGTTTCGCTTGTGTACTATTAACTTCGTTGCCATAGAGCACGAGTAATTTTTGCGCGGTTTCTTCCTTGCTGGCTAATGTGACTCATATGAATCGGTCATAGTGCCCTGCAGCTGTCAGCATGATGACGTCTCGCGTTTTGTAGCGCACTTGTGAGCCAGTTGTTTTCTAACTACATGTTTGCGTGTGTCACTGACAAAGTAATTTATTAACATGATTGTTGTATTGGTTTCCATACATCTCGAACCTCGAGCTCAGTGGGTTGTACATTGATGAGAAACGCAATTCATACGATTTTTCTCTAAAGTAGAAGCATAAACAAGTGTAATCGGGGCTTTTTTTTGCGTGCTTGACACCCTAATAAACAAGCTTTGTGTTAAAGTAGAAACAAACAAGAGTAATCGGGGCTTTTTTTGCATGCTTGACACCCTAATAAACAAGCTTTATGTGATTGCTGGTTTTCGCGCTCGTGCACATGGTTATTGATAGAGAAAATTGTGCTTGCTTGCAACCATTCCAAACTCCTCACTTTGTTTTTGTTTTTTCTGTTTTCTTGCAGGAAACAAGTTAAAGAGATGTTTTACCATGCCTACCGGGCTTACATGGTAAGGATTATTATCTAAATGTTCTTTAGATGGTTACTTTCTTGGACAAACTTACATTTTCTAATTAGTGGTATGCGCGTGAAACCGACTAATTTTTGCACACATACATGTTCATGTGTTGCAAAAACACACAACATGCTTAGTTTCAACCACATGTCACTTGCGACCCTCTTGTGTTTACACAAAGACTAGATTTTCACTAGTCATTGTATTGCTTTTAAAGTATAGTGTTTCAACTGGTTCTGGAGTACTCATGCAGTGTTTTACATAATTTATGTATGTGCATGAGCTTTTGTGAATGTTCACTGAACTGTTTCACATTTATGATTTTTATGAGAATAGTTACGCTTCTTAATTTTATGAAAGAATGCTCCTTGCCTAATGGTACCTGCAACACCTTTTTAAGTAACCATTGAATGAACTCACTGTAGAAGTTTATCGCCTCATAATTATCTTGCCACAAAAATGTTTCAGATAGCACAAGATGCCCCACCGCGGTTGTCCTATGGCTAAGGTACTGGGCTGCTGACCCGCAGGTCGCGGGTTCGAATCCCGGGTGCATTTCCGATGGAAGCGGAAATGTTGTAGGCCTGTGTGCTCAGATTTGGGTGCACGTTAAAGAACCCCAGGTGGTCGAAATTTCCGGAGCCCTCCACTACAGCGTCTCTCATAATCATATGGTGGTTTTGGGACGTTCAACCCCACATATCTATCTATCAGATAGAACAAGTATAAGTAGAGTACGTCACTTTCCACAGTCTCTTAGTGTTTTTCTCTCCCCTTTTGTCTTGATGGCATCTCTGATGTGACAAAGCAAGGGGGTACGAAACTTTGTCATGTGGTGACTGTGGTCCCTGCACAGCACTAGAAGCACAAATGTTGTGCTGAAGGCTGGCTGAGCAGCTTGAAAACCTGGTGTGCACTAGCCTTGTTCTGTGTGAGCTTGAACGACACATAATAGCTAAATTCACACCTCACATATTGAAGCTGTTTCCGTAAACTAAGCACAGAGTGATGTCTGCCAGGGCATGTAGCTCAGAAAGTGCATAGGAGAAAGCACACATGTGCTGGCAGACATCACTCAGGGGTTTTGGGAGTGACACAAGGCAGCTCTTGATTACCTGTACAGTACAAGACAAGTGACCGACTCAGACATGTATAGTGTTCAAAATGCAACTCGTGTATTACACCCTGTGCCACCTCACGTGAACATAGGAGAAAACAAAACATTAATTAGGCAATTGTCACTAGAGACTGGAGACATACATTGTTTGAGATATGCATAGTTTTTATTTGTTCAACTTGGAAAAAGCAGTATTAGTGAGGATGTTTTCAGGACCATGAAATTGGCCAATGGGTGCGTCAATTCATTCTATTAAGTAGCTGGTTCCTTTGGTTGTATAGCTTGCTGAGAGGAGAGAAATTGGTGTTCAGCTGTTTTTAGAATGTAATTTCATTTTTCATGCTGCATGCAGTCTGGTAATGTTTGACTGGCATGTTCACAAGAGCCTTGACTCACAAGGGCCCTTTCAACAAGCAACCGTCAGCTATTGGGGCTAATGGTCATATATTATGAGTATAGCGGCTACAGTTAGCAGTTCGTTGCTTGCTTTTAGATTTCCAAATATATGGATGGATGCAAAAACTTTACTATAGTCCCTCGGAACGCGCTCTAGCATGTTGCGGACTGATCCCATGTTAGAACAGAAAGACCAAGTCTTTCTGCCATGTTGCCGGCCTATTGCACTGCCTATAGCTGTTCTTTGAGTCTGGAGCTGGTCATCGCAGCCTCCCATTGGGATGGCGTGATGACTTTGCCACCGCATTATGAAAGGCTCTGCCAGAACACATGTTCTAAGTTGGTTATATCTAGGCATAATAAACATGCATTAGTTAGTTATATTTCTGGATGAATCTTGTGCAGTAGCACAGGGTTGCACTACATCCCGACCTGAAGTAGCGTGAGTGTCAGAGTGTGTGGTTCGTCTGCTTAACTTCCTGTGTTGTGGAAGGTACTGTCTCCGTGCCAGGTGCCAGGACACCGCGAAATACAAGGCAACGTTCTGGTGGACCAGCTGGCTGGATCCGCTAACGAAATCGCTACCAATACATTGATACCAATTCCTGCATTCGACTTGACACCTTTTCTAAAACGAAAGCTCGGGGGTTATTGGCAGAGCACATGGGACACACACACAGGTAATAAATTGCATGTCATCAAGCCGCAACTTGGTCATTGGCTGCCGGTATCAAAGTCACGCCACACAGAAGTAATACTTACAAGGTTAAGAACAGGACATACATACACTACACATTCGTTTATTCGTTTTTTTTCTCTGGTGGCGATCCACCTTTGTGTGATAGATGTGGAGAAGCGTTCACCGTACTTCACATTCTTATCTAGTGTAAAGAATTAGACATGCTAAGACAACACTTTCCATTACCCTACCGACAACAGATACTACTTCATCCTGCAATGTTTGTCGGTAGGGAACCACTTTTCACACATAAATTGTTGTTAGCTTTTTGAGAGAAGTTCGTACATTTCATATCATATACCCAGGCATTCCATAGCACGACCTCCTCAGAGAGGTCTCCGCTGCGGTGGCTACACTCAACAAAGCACTTGCCTCACGGCTCTTGGATACAAGGGTGTAAACTATCGATGCACTTGTGCTAATGCCATACATGTCCATCATGGTTTTTATTTTCACAAACTTTCATCATCCATTAACACCACACACTTTTCACGACATGGTCATGATTTTATTACTTCTGTGTTTTTACCCGCCTTAGGGTGAAGAATTTTGAGGCCCTTATACAGCCGCTAATCACAATAATTGTCCACATCTCTTGTCCCATGAACTGGTGCTCTTTGGTCATCAATTGGCACTTGCGCCACAAAGCACCAAACATTATCATCTGTTTTGCTAATTTTTTATACGAGGCAGGAGGGTCCCTGATCTTCAAAATTTCAGCACCACACCCACCAGTAGCTACGCAGTCGACTACTCGTACAGCTGTATGGGCTGATTCGCTCAGATTGGGCGGAGCTCTCTCGATTCGATCAATGTAAGCTGGAAAACCGATGAGGGTGTGTGGCTTGATGTTCTTGTTCCGAAGGATCCCCTAGGTCGGTACCAAGATGGTGCCCTTTGCAAATTCTCTGACCATTGTTCCCCTGTCGCTGTAAATTGTTGACCTCCTGTTGTCCTGCAAGACCAATTAATCAAGTCTAGAGGCTTTTTTTAAGTGTCATTTGGAATACTCTGCTAAAATAGTGTAGATTTTCTAATGACATTTAATACACTTTTTGCTAATCATTCAACATTAATAAGTGCTGTTATAATTGGTATAATTTAGTGTCATATTTGTTATTCTTATAGAAAAAACTCAGGCCTTCGTGGAGCACACAGCTCTGTCACAGTGTAAGCTTAAAGGGGCCCTGCAACACTTTTTGAGCATGGTCAGGAAGCGCTGCCGATCGATAGTACAGGCTCTTGAGAACACACGAGCCAAATATTATAGCTTAGCACGTGGCCTGCAATTCACAATAAATGATGAAAGTCTGCTAAAAATTGCTTTCTCTTCTTTGAACAAATGACGAAGGAACCTCAAAAATTATTCGTAGAACGCCTTCTATCAGTCATTGGCTGATTTGAATATGCCATGCTCAGTCACTACAGGGATCGCCGTGAAAGGCCGTGACTTGTCCACACGTGCACGTGCGATCACACTGAAAAACTCACATATTCCAACTTTGCCCTTACTGGACAGATTATTAAAATTTTTGCTGTGTTGAATTCATGAGGCAATAAGCTTTTTTAACAAATCTATTCCATGGTTACTTATAAAAGTGTTTCAGGGCCCCTTTAAGGAATCTCCTTGGAACAGTCTGCTGTAGTCTAGTTTAGAGTGCCTGCTGCAAATCCAGAGCATAAAATCTAGCGTTCTTATGTGCACGCATCTAATACAATACTGCCAGGTGGGTTTCGTAATCCAAGAAGTATGTTGTAACAGATATCTAGTTTGTCTCTATGGACATGTTGTTTATAAACACCGAGTCCACATATGACCATTTCTAGGTTGTAGCAAACCAGGGTCTTGGGAGCCTTGTTTGCTGCTATCACTGTTATAAAATTTCCCGTGCTAGCCAGGTCGTAAAGGAAGAAATGGTGAGGCTGCTGCTGGCGCTGCTGCTGCTGGCAGGCAAATTATAGTGGACCCTATAATAAGTGGGTACAATTAGAACACTGCATAAAAAATTGGGTAATAGAGAAAGCTACTGACTGGCCACCAATGATCAATTCTGGCCACGCTTGACAGTGCCAGGAATTCGCATGAAGGCGGATCTCTCGAGACCAGCTTTGAAGCAGCTGACTCTACTTATGCTGCATGCAGCATACAAACACCATGTTAAAGTGTATACAGATGGTTTGACAGATGTTGGGGGATCTGCAGCAGCTGTGATCTCCCCAGCAAGAGTCGAAATCATACAATTTTGAACGTGTCACAAAACATCGGCAGCCACAGAGCTTGCAGCACTCCGCTGTGCACTCCTTAGAATAGATCAAGAAGCACCTGCAAAATGGTTCATTTTCACAGCTTCGAAACTAGCTCTGTACTGTATTCGAACTGTGCTACGTCATGGACCTCATTACCAATTGGTGCTGGAAACAAGATAACTGTATCAATAAGTACTACAGAAAGGACATGATGCAGCAAAGAACGCTCACAAAAATGGCATGATGGATCACATTCCACTGTCAAGAAGCGACGCAGCAGCAAGGATAAATACACTCGCCTACAGTGTAGCCAGGTCTCTGTGAAACACACCCGGATTTCTCCTCACCCTGTCTTCACCGCCTCGATCCATACCTACGACTTACCATTCCATCTGGTTTATCCAGATCTGAGACAACCGTTCTCTGCTGTATGTGGCTTCGGGTGTCTTATACAAACACCTTTGCTTGCCGCATCGGGTGGGCAGACAGTGCTGCGTGTGACCATTGCGGTGCTGACAAAACCATCGAAGATATTTTGGGTCAGTGCCCTGGGTAGAACTGTCAGAACTGGCAGTTTTCATGGCATGACTCATGGACTTATACTATGAAAATACAAGGCAGCATTGTTGCTGCTTCTCATGATGATGATGAACAATGGCTGAGCTCTTAGTAATAAGTGAACTGCTTTAAGGCAACCAATTCTTATGCAGTTCACATAGTATGACGCCTGGTGCAATTTTGCATGTATGCCATCTAGGATTTCCGTAGCTGAACATGTGACTCCTCCCCTGTTGTGACGTCTCTACAGGGTCTTGCTCTAAAACAGTTTCAAACGCTGTCATGGCTCTGTGGTGAATGCCCGGGTTTGGTTCCAGATCAAATTCAGGTGTTTTTTTTTTCCTTATTGTGCGTGGTAGCTGTGGTAGACTCAAAGGCAGTGGCCAACGCAGCCACCAAAATTAGTTGTCTTTGTGAACTTATTATTGCTTATGCTGTAAGCTAGAGGTTCAGTACATTTTGTAATGCAGTGCAAGCAACTGATGTACGTAGATAAGTAAATGCTTGTATCAACTGTGTGCTGATACTCTCATGCAGGAAAATGCATACCCAGCTGATGAGCTCATGCCTCTGAGCTGCAAAGGCCGATACCGTGGAACGGAGGCCAATCGAGGGGACATAGATGATGCACTAGGAAAGTAAGTTGACCTTCCTACATATGGTCAAAGCCTTTCACAGTACTGTATGTTTTTTTCTTGTCATTGCAGTTTTTCATTAACCCTAGTGGACACCATGGACACGTTAATGGTGAGTGGCAAAGTCAAAAAATTGTCTGGAACCTGCCTTTTTCATGCCTCCACAGCGCATGCACAGCCTCCTGGCGGCGGCTCTGGGAAATGATTTGTGGGGCGCCGTTACAGATGTCGCCTGTATTTTCGCGGAGTATGTCCGTTCGATTCACCTGCACCAATTAAAACCGGTTTACAGCTGTGCACGCGAAGTTCAGAAATTGTGCAGCGTGAGTTCAGTTGTGCAGGCATAGCGCGACATCCGAAATGAATGACGATGTGCCAACAAGGTGCAGTCCTTATTTCTGTTGGCTTAATTTACACTGTTCATCTAACACTGAACGATGGCAAACCGCACATGCGGACAGTTTATGAGGTGCAAACATCTTGGCGAAACACACCGCGTTAGTAGAGGCGGGTATGGTGCCTATGCCGAAGTGCTTTGCCGAAACTCGGCAGAATCTTATGCCGGCGGGTAACTTCACTTTGTGGCCATTTCTCTCCGACACTGTTCGCGGCTCTCATTTGTCTGTTTTTCTATCAACGCATTCCTTTGCGTCTCTCGCTGCAACACTCCTTTTCTCTTTTTTTTGTTTCCACCGAAGGAGGATCCAACGCGCACAGAATTACGTGCGAGGTTGCACGTCCGATATTTGGAGATGCATCGTTCTTGGTCTGGCGACGCAGTCCGAACACTGCTTCGGCACGTTAGGCTTAGCAGGTGCGGCTAAGCAACAAGCAGTATATCTTGCTAATATCGATAAAACGTACCTGCTGCTTCAATCCCAGAGTGAGATGAAACAAATCGATGGCTTATTTCATCATTTGTTTACTGCTGTTAGCGCCGTGGGCGTGTAGCAAGAGTAAGTCCACATCAGAGCGAGCGGTGACTATGGCAAAAGCTCGCTCGCCTTGATGGCTCACGATTAGTTTCTGGAAGTGTCCGCGAGAGGGTGCCACACAGACATGCAAAAGTCGGACTGGAGTAGTTGGTTTTATATTGGTGGGATGGTACCAATGCAAACATAGCTTTTTAATATACTATACAGCATGACAATAACAATAAAGCAGCATAAGTGATGCTTTACTTCCAATGTATATTTCTTATTTAAGGCTGGTTTCCTTTCGGCTTTGCGTTATTAACATTTGCATGTATGCCATTAATGGAGTAGAAAAAGGAATTTTTTGTATTTATCAATTTTCTTGCAGTTTTATATTTTGTAATTGTATTTTTATTGCTTTCGGACACCTGTTACTTGAGTGCACAGCAAAGGATTAATATGGTGCAAGCAATTCAGAACATGGGACATGTTCAGTTCGAAGAGCAGGAAGAAATCAACCAAACGCCAGTGTGGCTTTGTGTATGACAAGGGAGACTATGCACTGCATTGAAACCTGATGTGGCATTCATGTGGTTTAGCAGTGATGCTGGATGCAAGCTATGACAATTTTACTAAATGCCAAGTCTATGCACCACTCAAATACACAATAGGGAAAAGCAAGTTCTTCTGAGTTTCGAAGAGAAGCACATAGTCGGAAGGGCGAGTTTGGCAGCTTGTTCATTACATGACCTTCAACCACCACACCAAGCCAATTAATACATTGTTGAGTTGTTCGTAATACCACATGGTCACCGGCCACCTTTCAACTTCTGTAATGTGAATAGCTTTCATTCTCATTTTCAACACTCTGTACCTCCCTACACTAATTTTAAACATGTTGAATAACTAGTACTATGATTATTTGTGGTGCTCCCAAGGAATCGATGCTGTGTAATATAATAGGCCAAAAATAACTGGTTGTGAAATTTTTTGAGATGTGCTTCAAACTTAAAGGTATACTGAACAAAATTTTTGCGGCTGAGATCTTCAACCAAATTGAAAGATTAGGTCTTCAAATCGACAAAGACAACCTTCATTCCAGGCAGAAACTACATGAAAATAATGAATTTAGTGCATTTTTTTACAAACTGCCACGTCTAGCAGCCGCTCCGTGAACTAGAGGTGGTGACGTTTATTGATGTGACAAATGCCCAGAATGAGCAAGACAATACCGGCCGTCACCTGCGTCTTTTGATGCGCTTAGCTCTCTCTACGGTTTCCAGAACCGCTATGACAGCACGAGTAGTGAATTCCCAGCTGGGCTAAAGCATCGGCGCTTTCGTGGAAAGGAGAGAGTGGAATGATAGGAGGGGATAGGGAAAAGGAACATGTGCACCCTGCATGCACCTCGGTGATAGTGATGTCACAGCTTGTGCTCGCCTGCAGCTTTCGTGGGCGGGCAATCTATAAAAAATACAGCCTACTGTTGAAAATAATAAGAAATTGACTCTGTTTATCAGAACAGTCACATCTTCAAAGTAGTGTAATTTCTCAGAGAGTAATCAAACTGAAAGGTTGCCAGTGTCACCCATGACCATTAGTAAATGCCAATGGAAATACACTTAAACCCCTTTATAAGAGACATGCGACGGAAGTGATTCTTGTCTTCTATATGAGGGTTTCTTTATAAGCAGTGTATCACGTGTGCATTTTCTTGTCAACACCTATTTCAGTGCAAGCACACTGGCGTCTCTTAGAGCCATCAGCTTTTACATCAGTGTCTCTTACTTGGGGGTTCAACTGTACCATTGAAGATCAAGTGAACTCTTTATAGTCTTATTCAACCTTAAAAAGTCTGTAGAGGCCTCGCCCAAGCAACCAAAGCGCGGCAGCCGATCGCTTCCACGACTAATGAAATAGTCCTGCTTATGCATGCAGCAATGTTGTTCTAAGGCACCGGCTGTCCGGCTCATGACATCAGTCTGAAGTGCGCACCCATTGGTGCGGTCTTTTGTACATCCACCTTTCAGGAGGAAATGCCGCGGACTTTTAAAGTTGCATTCAACTATAGGTACATTACTCATAAATTAAAATGCTGCATTAATTTTCTTTAGTATAACAAGTGCTATGAGCATGGGGGTGAGCCTTTGTCGCTCCTTGTTAGAAGGCTCTGCGTTGAAGTGGATGTGCCATTCGTGGGACATTGTCTAATCGTTTTAATAAAGTAGTTTCTACTGCGGCTATAGTCACATGTAGATTTTAAGAAGTCATTAGTTTCATGGTATATGTCCTAAAGACACATGTTCACGTGTATTTCCATGAAGCGTAGTCTAGGTACTCCGGCCCTGAGTTCTACACTGATGCATCATGATGACGAGCCAGTGTATCATATACAGCACACATTCTTATCTGTACAGCATCAATGCATACTTGTTCACCAGTGGTGATCCACACGTTTTTGATAACTGTGGCAATTCTTTTACTGTGGCACACATCTTTCTAGATTCCCATGGATTGAAAGCTGACAGAAAATGATGGTTGATCTCTCTCTCAAAGAACCTGTTGCTAAAGTTTAAGCCAGGGGTCAAACACGCGGCCCGCAGGCTGCATGCGGCCCGCTGACCTCTCTCTTGCGACTGGCAGACAAGGAATACACTCTTTGTCCCATATTTCTTTTATGACGTTGTAACTGTTTATGGCACTCATAGGGTTCTCACATTATTTTCTCACTTATCATGATTAACAACTCTTTGTACAGGTAAGCTTCACAGATGGGACTGGGCTTAAGCATTTTTTTATTATGCACTCTGTGCGGTCACCTTGCATTGAAACATAGCTGCAGAAGAAAGACTGTACTTAGAATTGGCGTCCAGATTTTAGTGGTTTTGTAGATCGGTATAGTAGCATCGTATGGCGGACGCACCGCACGAAGAACACAGGGCACGACGCTGAAGCGCCGGCCGACACGTGGTAAGCAGCCGCCGGTAGCAAAGCAGGAACTCCTCTTTATATATACAAGCATCAATATATATACCTATGTATAACGCCCTCCAGGGGCCAGCCAACCGGTTCCAAAACCGGAACCGAAACCCCGATACCACATCATCCCCCCCCCCCCCTTTAAATAAAGAGCATTCGAGCTGGTACCACTTAACATGATGCAAAACTAACATATAATGAAAATGTACAGCATGCACACTAAAACAACAAGTAAAGCACACTGACATTTGTACACATAACACAGTGCATAATGAAACGTAGTGGATTTAGCACAACGAATTATGAAGAATTAAAAATGTACAGCATGCAGACCAACAATGTAACAGCAAGGCACATTGCCAAATCACCACCACATCATCCCCTTCCCCGAGAGAGGATGTCTGCATAGTCGTTGTCGTGTTTGAGTCTACGGCGTCGACGCCTGTAGTGGTGCCATTTCCACGACAGGCACTGTCACCGCCCACAGCAGTCCAGTGGTACGTAGGAATCGGCCCATGTGCTGTCCTTCCAGTGTACTTCTGGCACAGTAGGGGCCGGAACAAGCATGAAGCGATGCTCTGATGGGACACAGCTCTGCGTCACCGATGCAGGTGCCGTGCACAGAACAGGAACTGGCACGGCTGGCGCAGACGCGACCAGTGGTAGCACCTCCGTAGTACACAGAACAGGGACCGCTTCCTGAATTTCGGCCGGCACGCTTGATGGATGCATCTCCTGCAAATCAAGAACAGACACAGCAGCCCGGAGGCCACCACAAGCCGAAAGACGCACAGCCGTGGCTGAATCAGCAGCAGGCAAGACAGGAGCAGCAGGCACAATCGCCCCGTATGGTGAGCTGGGATGCAAACAGGTAGAGTCCGGGTATGCTCAACCCCAGGAAACACGACAGGAGCAGGCACATCAGGAGCACGGCCAGCTGAGACGTCGACAGATGCAGTACAAGCAAACACGCCCTCAATCTGGGCCGGAATTGTTGAAGTATGGCCTGGTATAATTTCCAAGATTTCCGCAGAACTCTGAGGAGCCAGTGGCACATCAGGAGTGGAAGCATAACGTTGTAGCAGTATGGGTCGAGAAGGACAAACGCCACGGCGTTGATACTCGCGTCGTGTAATCGAGTCATCCCGCGGAGCAGCCAGCTGCTCTAACGCGCTGTCGACGCGCTCGTCTTCCCTGGCATGTTCCAACGCTGCCTGGA